TGAGCGAGACTAGCACCTTGTCGATCTATGTCACAGGCTCTCCCAATTCCAAGGTCTTTTCATCTTCCGATAACAGGCGCTCTCTTGCCTTCTCGTCAAGAACACCAACAATTAATGCCAGTAAAAGCATTGCTTCTTCGTATTGGACTGACTTGATCTGGTTTTAGGCACTGTCAGAAAGGTTCGCGAAATAAACTCATTCAAAGTTTCGTTCTGCTGCTGCCGCATCATGTTAAATTTGTAACGTGCTGTAAATACTTGTGGCTTTTCACCCCACAGGCGATTGAGAGAGTGAAAAACAGCTTGTAAGTTTTGTTTTGTATGTTGTTGCAGGCTATCGAAACGTCACTGCTTCTTGTTCCCTAAGATGTGACGCAGTAATTTGATTTTTGATGCATCATCCATGGTATCGTTACAACCAAGTGGAACAACTACCTCTACAACATTAGTGAGGCTAGTTTTCCACTGCAGCCATTGTTGTGTAGTATACTTTTCCGTGGAAGAATTCCAAAACGGCTGAGTTGATAAGATCAGATCAATACACGTTAGTTGAGGGTGAGAAACACACCCCAGCTAATGTGCCGCAGTATAAGAAAATAAGATACTAAAAGGATTACACAACAAAAAAATCCAATGTCAAAGATTATATTATTCGTTTTTTTCTGAGATCGGGATTGGTGGAGGAATCTAAAGGGGAGGTGGATGGACGAAGAGACTCACAATACAAACGCCATTGGGGCCGACACCTGGCCATGTCAGCAAGTGTGTCCCACCAAACGTGTTCGCCGTCCTTCGGACTCCAGTCAGGCAGTCAGGATGCACCAACCGACGCCAGCTTCGAAGTGAGGGTTTTCATTTCTCTCGACCAATTCATCGCTTGGCCTCCCGTCCTCCTCTTTCAACCGCACCCCCGGCGCACAAACAATGCACGTCGCGGGAGTCGGTGGCGAGGCATGCGCACCGCCGCCAGTATCGCATGTGGGGGATCGCAGGGTAAGCACGGAGCTGGAATCTGGCAAGCGGGTTACCGATAAACGGCAAATATCGATCGATAAGGTCTCGAGTATTCGGGCAAGTGCTGCCTTCTGGCCAATTTGTAACAAAGTGCGCACGTTGAGGCATGCCAGTCTTAACGAGGATCTAGGACTCCAAACGGAAACGGACGAACTGACATTGTCTGCTTGGTTGAACATGGACTTGTCGACTAATTTGAAACGATGCCCTTCGACTGTGTGAGCTGAAACTAGAAGACAAGCGACTATTGAAGCAAGGTGGGGGAGGGCCAAGAATTGGGGATTGAAAACGGGGGGAATAAAAGTGAAGTTGGAGCGGGACGCTAAGGATGCCAAATCGCAAGAGGGTGAATAAGAAGGCGGGAAGTCTTGCGCAGTAGCATCCGAACCCCTATCCACCCTTCTCGATGCAGCAGATAGGGCGCCGTTTATTAACTTCTGCGACAGCCAGGGTATCTACGAATTGTTTGAAGGAAAGTTCATAGTATTGCGTGGGCAGAATACTGTCAGGTTGCCCTGGCCTAGACAGGAGAATGATTAGGATTCTCAACCAAAGCCCTTGGTTCAAAAACCTGACCGCAAGGCGGCGGGGTTTCGGCACTGGACTACAGAGAGCCCGTTTTATGGAGTAAGGAGCCAATCTCCAACGCTCAACCTGTAGGGCCAGGAGACTGTGTTTATCAGGCCTCTAACCATTGACCAATCTGGGTATGAGTTGCTCTGAAGGTGCAGACAACACTACCCAGCGTAGTTCAATGGATCAATAAGGCACACAAACCATCGCACCACGTTAAGGTCCAGTCTCCTCGCGATGAAAGGCTGAGATGAGGTAATCGATTTTGTCATTAGTGATCGTAACAACCTCCGTTACCAGTTTGTTACGCTAAGACGAAATCAGAAAACAGCTGTGTAGTAAGACGGTTATTCATACAAACGGCGTAACACTGTACACCAAAAAGGGAGCGCAAGACATTCGAAGTCACATGAACACAGAATCAAATTTCCAACCAGTTGTTACGGCAGAAGACCAATAAACGTAGTACACACACACGAACGCACGCAAGCGGTGAGCGTATGGAAAGGTGTATCAGCGGCCTATCCTGTTCTAGTAACCCCGGTCGATATGCACAATAATTACCAGTTTTGGCAGGACGGTGAAAATTCATTTCTTCTTGTTGGTTTTCGCCGTAGCAACCATCTGTTTAGTTTACGACCCGAAATACCGATTGTGACTGCGGTTTGATTTGCATTGAACCTGAGCTATGGCGTTCATTCGGACCTCATCAGAATGCGTAATTTCGGTGTTACTCACTCTCGATACTGCAGTGAACGACCGATTTCTTACCTGTTTTCACTCGTCAAGCAGAGCTAACCGTAACTACATGTGGAGCCCTAGGCGCTGCAGTTGATGACTGTCGCCATGGTCGATGGGCTGGCGTAATTTAGTGGCATCCACTGCCAACCACTACATTCATGGTTTCATTCCTGACCGAGGCTATCCCTAGCTGAAACCTTCACAATAGAGCGAACTTGACCGTGGATTGCAGTATTGAGAGTGGGCAACGTCGGAACTCTCTAAACACGGAGAAAAGTAAAGGAAAATAGGTTGTCGAACGCAGTACTCTCGAGGTCACTTGGGTGTTATCCACGGAATTGGCGGAACAAATGCGTGTCACACCGTTTGTCTTTATTTCTCACGGAATTCACCAGATCGAGCGAGTAATTGTGCCCGGATCTCCCATGACGGAACGTCACGATGGGTTTATTTTGTGATATCAGGTGAAACTACTCATAATGAATAGCTATGGCAGTAAGGTAGGCAGAGATAAGCGGAGCCGATGTCCAGATACGAGGTGGCGCACAGGCTTACCGCGGAGCACGTGAACTGTCTGCTGCATACGAAGGTCACCAGCACGAGCGTGGACCGACCTTCGACTGTTTTGCCAAATTTGAGAATCGGGTGCAAACTTATTGGCCAGCAAATACAAGCCCGAGTCAACGGAGGCGAACCATTCTGCCAAACAGGGAAAATCCGTGGGACGGAATTAAGTCACATTGGCTGGGAGCCGAATGTTTCCAAAATTATTGTGTTCCGTCCAACAACAAACAGAACTGACCTATCGTGTAGAATGGACTCCCTGTTTACCGAGCCTTGGCCTTCTGTATCCCGTCGGTTGGTTGGGCGCGTGACTGAGCAATCAGGCGGTCGTAGTCTCGCAGACGCAGAATAGCAGCAGTGCAGCAGTACGAAATCTGCTTTACAACACTACTCGTAATGAACAGCTATGGCAGTTATTTTGTGTTCGATCCACTTTATAACTATGGTGGACGCGATCTTTATTAAATTCATGCACCAATTTTTCCGGCATGAAATACCAGATCTAATCTCCCACAATGACTCTCAATTCACCGGTGCTGTCCCAGACTCTCCTAACCTAGTGGGCACCGACCAACCAGCTTTCATCTTTGCATTCAACCGGAATCACCGAGGTAGAAGTGAAATAAGCCGAATGACTATTGTTATAAAGCAGATCTACTCGTGGGGACCAGCGCTATATGGCTTTAGGGTAACGCAACTCTTCGAGTATTGGTTTAAGTCCAATACCTCTACACCGGCTCTACTTATGTGCACCGTTGCAACATTCCATCAGCAACTGTGCAGTGGTTTAAGTGAACAGGTGTTGACTTCTATATGGCGATACGACGACTTGCCCATGGATCAAAGGATCACAAGCATGTCTTGTAATCCGAGGGCGCGGGTTCCAGTCAGATTATGGGGACTTGGCGATCCTCGCAGTATGCTTAACCCATACGTGATGGTTGGTGGTTGCGCGGCAGCGAAGCGTCAGTACTTCGTACCGACGTACTGCTGACATACTGCCTGACTGGTTGTATTGGAGGAACCGGAGGTCTGACGGATTCTCGATTTCCTTGAACTGTGGAAGCTGCGCGAAATCTAAGTTCCGATGAAGATCTTGTGATTCTAGTATAGGTGAATGATACTCAGAAGAAGCCAGGTAGTTTCAAAACAACATTGGAGAAAAATGCATGGATCTGGAACGTGGCATCCTGTAATGGGCAGAGGTGAGAGGAGTGCAAAGGACCAGACAGCGACGAAATTTGGGATGGCCAAACTTACAGGATGCTTGGTGAAGTGGTGGTGAATGAGAAGAAGAGAAAGGGGTTAACAGAATTAGCGGGTCCGAGTGTATTGATTGTATCCAGAAAACGAGACAACCAGACAATGCGACACGAGGCTGTTATACTCTGTCGTTAGTCGTGCCGAACACTATCATCTATCTGCGCGACTCAGCTGATTGGCCGACCGTGTTTAATAGTGGTACGATGTACCCCCTTGTTTTGTCTGATGGAGTTAAGGTTAAAATTTCTTGTTTTAAACGCACAGCAATATCCTAGATATTTATGAACGCAGTGCAGGCGTTGTTACTCTTGAAGGCGAACAAGTATCACAAATTGTTACCTCGTGAATTCTTCGCTTTTGTTTCACTAATTGGATTCCCATTTACTGGATAAAATCATCCATCTACGGAGGGCAGGTATTTTGAGATGAAGTGCAACGCGACTCATCCGTTGCCATCTTCCATTGCTTGAGCTCGGAATTAGTAAAGTTGGCAAAACAGCTGCTGTCTGAGATCGACCACTTTTCTTTTCGACAACTACTTATGTTTCACAGTCTGGAGATAAGTCGCCTTGCCACCGGGAAAGAGTTGGGCTCGAAATTCATTGGATTCAAATCTATGAAATTTGAGAGGACGTAGTTGTTGAGTAGATCATACAACCAGTTGGGTACATCCTCTCCTTCTGTTAACATCAACCGATAGCGTCTGGGCTCTGCATCACTCGATCCGAGCGTGGGTCCCGTTGTCCGACTTCCTTTTGCGTCCTAGCGGTCATTTGTGTGACCACCATTGTTATTTATCGTAAACTGCGACCCTGTATTTTACCAGTATGTTCATCTCTTTTTAGTCAGCTTATCGCGGTGCTGTGCACACAGGACAACCACTGTACTCGTCTCCTACACTGTGTAGAGTTGCTGACGTCAATTCTTCATCTACTGCCCCCCAAAGAAGTGAAGACCGCTTGCGAGTGCATTCTTGAATTGGTTGAATTCCCAAATTCTCTGGTATGTGCTGACTTATTCTATGGCTCTTCTTACTTTACACTCACTTCTTTTGTCACAATGGTTAGTTTGATTTCATCTTGCAACTTTTCTAATTTTTTGTGACTGTCTACTAAACTTTGTTTATCCAACCGCACAGTTCACTTTGAAGGTTTCGATGTGGTTTACCAGACGAGCTTAAAACAGATGTTAGCTTGAGCGGCTAATGTTCAATAGTATGGAATTGCATACAGGATCGCCACCATATCCGTGTTTGCGTCCCACCTCATGATATCTAATCCCTGGTATGGCCAATCCAGAGGGATTTATCTGATCATTTTATTTCTTGCTTGCTCATCTAGACTTATTGTTGTTCTTCTTTAGCAGCGTGAATCGATGCTACAGGGTCATCCGCATTTCTGTGTACGAGTCTTACTTGTGTTGGATTATTTATAAAGAAACTTGGCTGTATATTGATGGTATGATCGCAATGGCCACCGTTTAAGAATTGGTTGCGATCTAGACGGTTATTCCTTTTTCCGCAGCTGCCCAACAACTGCCGAGCAATTGTCGATTGTTTATTTGCCTTATCCATGTCTATCACTTTGGCTTTTAAATGTAATGTTTCAAATGCACCTCCTTAGGGACACCCCCAGCTTATTGTGCTTTACTGGACTCGAAAGAGGTTTGTATCACAAGGACGTTTGCTGAACTTTGCACAAACGAGACCTGGGCAGATTACCGTCGTTGTTTTAGTTAACTCAATTACGCTTTTCCTGCCGCAGCTACCCGATTTCTTCAAACTACAAAGCTAGCTTTCTTTCCTTCCAGGTTGTCGCAAAGTCCTATGATTGCTTTCGCGTCCTTTTCGATAACCGACCTTCGTTCTCGCTTCCATTGGATTTGGCCGCGCGTTTATTAACGGCTCTGCACTCCTTTCGCCCGAATGACCCAGCTGTTTTAGATGTATCGGGCGGCTCGAGCACATCCACGGGCGGATTCACTGGTGTTGATGTCATGATCTCCTGGTGCAAAGCCATTCGGTCGGGCTGTACGTATTTATGTGAGCTCAGCTGCGAATCGATCGAATCTAGTGTCACGCACTCGCGTGCATCTGATCCTTCATCCGCTGACCCTCAAAATGTAGCAACTGAGCATATGGATAAGTTGCTGAAGTGTTTTTTGGATATCCTGATCACTACACCACTACCAAATCTCAAGGATACAGTCGCCAAAATGATGGATGATTTGATGGTTACTCAGCTGGTACGTTTAGTGTCTTTTCTGCCCTCTGATGACACTCCTGTTTTGTTCTATTCGTTACTCTGTTTTTGGAAATGTGGATTGCTAATCCTTTTTTTATCACATGTATCTCCCACTGAGGAACCGTTACTTAGGATCCACGCTACCCGAACGCGCTTGATGTCAGGACATGCGAGCAGCGGATTTGTCCGAGATCTGCCTCGGTGTTACTTTCCGGCCAGACAAAGGAGCACACAATTGATTGATCGCTATCCTTTCTGAGAGCTGATGCTCTCAATGTTCATTACTTTGGCGTAGTCGGCTTAGTGTGTCCGTGCCATGAATTGTTTCCTATAGCGGGGACGTGGTCACCACCAGTCTCAAGTCATGTAGTTTATATTCCTTAGGATGAAAACCAAACGAAATTCATCCGTGATTAATGGCGGTTAGGAGGTGTCATCATGCGATGGAAAAACGTATTAGTTCCCCTAAGCTTACTGGTATGCGACTTCAATAAAACCCCTGCTTCTCTACATCATCCTAAATGGAAAACCACTACAAGAAGGTTATGTCTGGTAGATGCAGGTATTTCGTGTTTTCTCCTCGGTAGCAATTACAATAACCGATATGAATAAGTATAACGAGTAACAAGTGTGATTAAACTAGCTTAAATTACTTAAAATCGATGATGACAGTTCGTTTCCTATGTTCACGGCAGTCTAAGGCTGACAAATAACTGTTTATGGTCGCAACACCGGCTGCCTCCGGCTAGTTGTGACGGCATCGGCAAACTGAAGGAATTATGGATTAAAGTGATGCAGCCCCATTTTGAACACTTCGTCGATCTGAATTAGATGATCTTGATCAATAGGTGTTCGTCTTTCAAGGAAGCAAGTGACTTGCGCAAATACGCAGCTTAGACAGGGTAACACTGCTGTGCAAAACTTTCCTCCAAGATTTGCAGGCACCGCCTCCTTTCTGGCTCTTGGTGGAGACCAGCTAGAAGCCGTAAAGAAATTCAACTATCTAGACAGTTCTAATGTGTTCGTATTCCTAGACAGTTGTATCAGCGCCTCTGGAGTCGAAGACGAGGTCACGAATAGTATGGCAAATGCTCAAGGCGCTTTTGCTAATCTTCGCCACCCGTGGCGCCGGTCTGACATCACTCTTTCCCTGAAGGGTAGTGTACAATGCAGCCGTACGTTCGACCACACTGTACGGTTGTGAAACCTGCCCCATTAGATCGGCAGGCGGGAGGAGTCTAGTTACGTTCGACCACCGGTGTCTTCGCAGTATAGCTCACATCTTGTGGGAACACCGTATGAGCAATCGAGCATGTTCGACGCTTTGTCTATGGCACAGAAAGTGCAAGTAAACCGCTCAGCACCGTTATATCACGCACAAGGCTCCGATGACTGGGCCACATGGCAACACACCGACTCCCGCGACGTGCGTTGTTTGCACAACGGGGGTGTGAATTGAAGAATTGGTGGTCAACCGACGACATGGCCAAGAGGAATGCAGACGCTTAATCCGAAGTTGACCTCGGTTGGAGTCTGTCGGCTCCCTTGTTGGTACCCGAAAGACTATGAGCACCTTTGATTGGATACACTTGTTGACATGACGAACACCTGACCTCATTGCCGTTTGTGTTGTGAGTTTCTTTTTCCCTCCCATTTCTACCATGATCTCATTTATGACTTATAATACAACCACTTTTTGCGGCACAAAAGCCGACTGCTAGCTCTCCCCGGAGCTATGCCCATCCATTACTGGTGGCTATGCTAGCATGCCTGGGTTACTTCTTTTTCCTTTCTCTTCTACTGCGGCACAATAGCTGATGTATTTCCCACCCCTAGCTAACGTGTATAATGATGATAATGAGGGTGACGCCGCTGGGCTGTCACGTTAGATCCACTTCGGTACATGCTCGCACATTCGGAATGCGATTCAGCTATCGGGTGTGCCAATGATAATGGCCGGAATGTCACACGTGGACTGATGTACACGGTGAAAATTTAGCCCCGATTGGCATAGTGTCCTTTGCTGGCGATACTGACGAATTTCTATTTTGATTGATGACGAAAACTTGAACAGTGCCGTAGCTCGTCTGCCTAGCGGCGATCAAATACTTTGTTGTCCACTGCGTGGCAAAAGTAACTCTATACAAACTTCTTGCTCGGCGTGTGCGCCAACTCCCTCAGCCCTTACAGTGCTTCTCTGTAAAGGTATCCGTTCGGCATCAACACAGTCATACTTAACATCGACTTATCGTCTAGACAATTTACCGAGCAATGTTATCTGACACGACTAAGCTCTTCATAGGTGTTCATCCGTACCGCATCGTTGTAAAACTTGTCAAATGCAGGTGCCTGTTAGGGATGTCTAAGTACACTAAACAGTTCTCCTGTTCCACTTCACATGTGACGCACAAGTTGGTCTGTGCGTTGTTAAGTCATTCTGCTAACTGTACGAGCTGCCGTTCTTGGGAATAAAAGGCTAAATGTCATCGATATAGCGTCTGTAGTATGGCAACTGGGCTCTCTCTATAGCCATTTTCTCTCTATCATAAGCATAGGGAAGGCTTCTAGCACAGGGCCCAGTGAATTGGCTGCCCATTGATTTGGCGGTACATCATCTTCTGATAGTTCAAGTCAACGTTCGTTGTGCAAAGCAATATGAATTCTCTTAGTAATTCAGCGGGAATCGGCAACGAACAATCAGTGTATCCCGCCAGTTCCCACACATCAACAGTTTCACGTAGCGGGACGCTAGTGAAAGGGATTCCACATCCAGGGTTCATATGACCTTGTAGAACAAGTTGATCGCATGGAGTTCATACACAAGTTAAAAAGAGACCATCAGGCTGTACAGATTGGCCCCCTGCCTGAACAGTGAAAGAATCTTTAGCAGTCAGTGAGCTAATTTGTGCTGGGGCTCATTTACTGTCAAAAGAATCAACCTAAGCGGCATTCCACTCCTGTGTGATCTCATTAACCCGTACAGATGCAGATTAGTGAAGCCACTGGGCTTTAAACTGGTATAAATACCACTGTCCATGGCACGATGGAGGAGAAGCATTTTAAGGTGACGTGTAACGCGAGCTTCGAGCTAAATCACCTCCTCTGGATTCTTAAACCGTTCAACTTTGCTCGCGTTGTTGTGTCAGGCTCATTTTCTGCACGTAATCGGGCTTGTCCACGATTACCACTCCCGTGCTCCAATCCGGTTTCATCACAACCACCTTCTTATCACGCGTTTTATGACACGCCTGTAGGTGTCGGCTTGTGAGCTCACATTTTCGTTTACTTGCACCTTGTACATTTCCCGATCACTCGCCTTCTTATCATGATCAGGCCTGCGCTGGCATGCCTCGCGTTGTCGAGAATAAACAATTTATTAATTAATTAAACGTACTGTTCATTGTAGCTAAATCAGAACTTTGATGGTCAACTCAAGGAGCTTTAAACAATCAACCCTGACATGCATGTCTGGTTTTGAAACAAGTTAACTGTTATCGTTCAGGAGGTTAAAACTGTGCCCGTAAACGAAAAAATGTGAGCTCACAAGCCGACACCTACAGGCGTTTTATAAAACGTGTGATGAAAGCGGATTGGAGCACGGGAGTGGTAATCGTGGACAAGCCCGATTACGTGCAGAAAATGAGCCTGACACAACAACGCGAGCAAAGTTGAACGGTTTAAGAATCCAGAGGAGGTGATTTAGCTCGAAGCTCGCGTTACACGTCACCTTAAAATGCTTCTCCTCCATCGTGCCATGGACAGTGGTATTTATACCAGTTTAAAGCCCAGTGGCTTCACTAATCTGCATCTGTACGGGTTAATGAGATCACACAGGAGTGGAATGCCGCTTAGGTTGATTCTTTTGACAGTAAATGAGCCCCAGCACAAATTAGCTCACTGACTGCTAAAGATTCTTTCACTGTTCAGGCAGGGGGCCAATCTGTACAGCCTGATGGTCTCTTTTTAACTTGTGTATGAACTCCATGCGATCAACTTGTTCTACAAGGTCATATGAACCCTGGATGTGGAATCTCTTTCACTAGCGTCCCGCTACGTGAAACTGTTGATGTGTGGGAACTGGCGGGATACACTGATTGTTCGTTGCCGATTCCCGCTGAATTACTAAGAGAATTCATATTGCTTTGCACAACGAACGTTGACTTGAACTATCAGAAGATGATGTACCGCCAAATCAATGGGCAGCCAATTCACTGGGCCCTGTGCTAGAAGCCTTCCCTATGCTTATGATAGAGAGAAAAATGGCTATAGAGAGAGCTCAGCTGCCATACTACAGACGCTATATCGATGACATTTAGCCTTTTATTCCCAAGAACGGCAGCTCGTACAGTTAGCAGAATGACTTAACAACGCACAGACCAACTTGTGCGTCACATGTGAAGTGGAACAGGAGAACTGTCTAGCGTACTTAGACATGGTTATCAGGCACCTGAGGTTTGAGATGGGATGGCGTCCATTTCTGTAAAACTAAATCACTGCCACCTCCGCGCTGCCTTGCGGACAGGCTTTTGAGCCAAGGACTATGTTGGAGGACCTTAGTCGTCCTCCTGTCTAGGTCTGGGCGCCCTGGCTGTATCAATCCACATCCAGCCATGGCTTTTTCTTCCCACATAAACTGTATCCTGCTTCGGTCGTCGCGCAGATTATCAAGGATCCCCTTATCTGCTGCATTCAGCAGGGTGGTTAAGCGAAAACATGTTACTGCTGGCGCTTCCGTTTTTCCTTTTCCACCTGTTTCTCTTACTCCTATCCCGACCCCCATTACTTAACCTTCCTTCCATAATTCCCAGCTTAATTGACAGCAACCGAAGTTTCACTGGTGTAAAACCATCTGCAGCCACCTCGCGACACGCACCGAACGCCTGTCGGCTTGGGCTCGCCGATCAACCTCCTCGTGGTGCCAGCTAGGCGGTTCGGGAATTTCCCGTTCCGGCGAATGGTTTCTTCGGCAGTGTTCCATGACGTGGTGGGTTTTCGCCTGGC